CAAAGTTATAACCATTCCCCCTCCGCCTTCCCGCCCCTCCAGTCCCTCTGTGGCGAGTAACCCCACCACCTCACCCCCTCCCCCCACTATCCCCCCCCTCCCCCCCCGCATATCTTTTTTCTCATGCTGGCAAGGACACTACGTGCATGCAAGGGTGCAACACAGACGTATACGGTGTACAAGGGAGTGCAGAGGTCTTCCAGGTTCGGCGCGGCCGGATGGCAGAGGTGGGCTTTGGCGTGTGCGCGCGGGCTGACTAGCGCAACAGCTGCGGCGGCGACATCGGGCTCACGTGGTGGTACCAAGATGGTGACTACACCGATCTTCTACGTCAACGGGCCGCCGCACCTGGGGCACGCGTTTACGGCGGTGGTGGCGGACGCAGTGACGAGATGGGCAAACGTGCGCGCCGGCGAGGAGACGACGGTTCTGGTCTCAGGCACCGACGAGCACGGCCTCAAGGTCCATCAGGCGGCCGAAGTGGCCGGCAAGGCACCACTCGCACTGTGCGATGAGGTTGCAGCCCAATTCTCGTCGATGGTAGGCGAGATAGGCGCCGAGGCGGCCGACTTTGTGCGGACAACCGAGGCACGGCACATCGCCGAGGTCCATAACGTGTGGCGGGCGCTGGATGACGCTGGCCTCATCTACTCGGGTGCGTACGAGGGCTGGTACTCGGTGCCGGACGAGGCCTTTGTTCCGCTCTCGTCGTGCGTCTTTTCTGACGGCGAGGAGCTGCCGCGGGCGGCAGACTCGGGCCACGTGCTCGAGTACGTGCGCGAGCCCAACTACATGCTCTCGCTCGGGGCGCTGCTCCCGCGGGTGGCGGCGCACCTCGCAGCAACGCCCGACTGGGTGGTGCCGAGCAACCAGGCAGCGGCACTCCAGCGGATGCTGGCCTCGGGCGAGCTGCCAGACCTGGCCATCTCTCGCCCGGCCCAGCGGGTCAAGTGGGGTATTGAAGTGCCCGGCGACCCGTCGCAGCTCATCTACGTCTGGCTCGACGCGCTTACCAACTATCTGACGCTTGCACGGCGGCCACAGGCCGACACCGGTAGACAGCGGGCCTGGCCGCCGGCGGTGCAGGTCATCGGCAAGGACATTCTCAAGTTCCACGGGGTGTACTGGCCGGCCATGCTACTTGCGCTCGACGAGGCGCTGCCGGATCAACTCTTGGTCCACTCGCACTGGACGGTCGACTCGACCAAGATGTCCAAGTCGCTCGGCAACGTGGTCACGCCTTCCGATCTGGTGGGCGCCGCCGGCTCGGTCGACGCCGCCCGCTACTTTCTGCTCACCGAGAACAATCTCGTCGACGACGGCAACTACTCGCACACCCAGCTGGCGCAGCGAGTTGCTGAGCTTGCGGATACATTTGCCAACGTTCTGCTGCGGACCACGTCCAAGGCGCTGAACCCGGGACACGAGCTCGCGCCGCCCGGCCTGCCGGCGGCCACCTTCGCTGGCGCTGCGCCCGAGTGTGCCGCCCTGCTGCGGGCTCTCGACGCTGTGCCGACCGCCGCTGCAGACGCCTTTGATAGCCATGGCTTTGCCCGCGGCATCAGCGAGATCATGGACCTCCTCCGCGCCGCCAACAAGGCGACCCAGGCGCTCGAGCCGTGGGTCCTGGTCAAGTCGGCGAACGAACAGGATCGTGCTCTCGCCAGCGATCTGGTCACGTACGTCCTCGCCAGCGTCGAAACTGCCGCGTTGCTGCTCCAGCCGGTCATGCCGGGCGCCACCGCCACCATTCTCGACTATCTTGGCGTTCCGACCAGTTCGCGTGCGGTGAGCGACGAGCTGTTGGCCGCGCCTGTCGCGGCTGCGCTCGACCGCACCGCAATGCCGCGGCCGCTCGGCGATCCGTCGCTCTCGCGCAAGGCCAACGCGCAGCGACTGCGGCTGTTTACCAAGCTTCCGCGGTGAGGGGAGGCATACACACGCAACTCTCGCATTCAATCGTAGCTCTTCTGGATAAGATACAGGTCCTCGAGAATCTCCTGCTCCTGCAGCGCAAACGAGGTCCCGCCCGAGATGCGCGGGGCCGGGGCGAGCGAGGTTGAGCCGCCACCGGGCAGCGGTGTGGCGGTCTCGGCTGCATCGGCGGCCTTCGAGCCGCGCTTACGGAGCGTGCGGGCCGACGACGACTTGATCGACTGGCCAAGGTGGAGGGCGCGCTCCTCCTCGACGCGCTTGCGCTTTTCGGCGACAACGTCGATCATGCGCTTGCGGAGCGAGGCCTGGTACGACGAGAAAAGTGTCTCGGCCTCGGCAACTTCGGCCTGGTAAACATTGTTGATGTTTTCCATCTGCAGATTGCGCCAGGCCTCGGCGAGCTTGACCTTCTCGTCGCGATCCGACTTGTGCTTGGCGCACTCGGCCACAAATCCATCGTGAGAGCCGTCCTCCAGCAGCGCAATCTCCTTGTCCAGCAGCGCAATCTTCTCCGTCAGCAGCTTGGTCGTCGCGTCCGAGTAACGTGACTCCATTGCCTCGACCTCGTCGGCAGACATGTCGTCGTTACCCTCGCCACCAGATGCATCACCAGCACCGGCTCCATTGGCACCGTTGGCCTCGACCATCGGCACCGGAACCTCGGCGTTCTCGGCTGCTCCTGCTGCTGCCGCAGGCTCCGCCGCAACCGCCGTTCCGTCGACGCCCTTGCGCTTCTTTGCCGCCGCGCCCTCGCTGTCGTCGTCCTCGCGCTTCCGCCGCTTCCCGGCCACCCCAGCGTCGTCCGCCACGGGTGCGGCGCTTTCCACACCGGCACCCACCGGCACCGGCACCGGCATCGGCTTCACCTCTGGCACCGTTACATCCCCCCCTGTTGGCGCCACTGCCGGCACATCCGCTGCACTGGCGGTCGCTGTCGCCGCCGCCGCCGCCGGAGGCACAGCCGCCACCGCCGCCTCGGCACCGCCAGCCGCTACCTTTGCCTGCGTGCCTTCCTGAGCTACATCCATGCCACTCTACAGCCAACCAGAGCCCCCATCCATGCACAGGACGTGAGTACCCCCCATAACCCTCGTTGGACCACCCCTACGTAGCCTCGACGTTGTCCACCATGCAAGGCAACAGCAACCGGGGATGCCTCCTCTCCCACCCACCGACAGCCACCACCACACCCTTTCGCCACGCCACCTCCCCCACCCCTGCCACCCCGCCAACCCCCCCCTCCTCATCACCCCCACCTCCACCCCCACCCCCACCTCCACTTACCACCTCGTCCATGGCCACTATTGGTCAAGAGTGGAATGTCAATCCCTCCCCGTCGCCGTCCCACCACAACCCCCCCCAACCACAACCCGTCTCTGCCCACACAGCCTGACCGACCCCCCACCCCCCCCCCCTCCCCCCCTCCCCCCTCTCCCTCTCCCTCTCCCGCTCTCTCCAAATCCATTCATCAAATTTACTTTGATCACGTGATGCGACCTTTCCCCACCCCCCCCCCCCCCCCCCCCCCTCTCCGGGCCCCCTTCCCCCCTCTTGTCCACCGGCCGACACATAGCCACATCACAGAACAAATACACTTCCGCACTACCCTTTTATCGGCTTCCTCCCTCCCTCCCCCCCCCCTCCCTTACCATGTTGATAAAAGACCATCATCATTCTCCCGTCATCTTCCCCACCCAGTCATCTCATCAACACGTGGACTCGGTAGGTCCTCTTTTGCTTGCCCGGCGTTATATTCGCTGCCCGTGTCCTCCGCACACACAACCACTCCTACAGCCAATTTTGAACAAAGCATGCCCATCGGCATTTCATCGGCCACCACTCACCTCGTTACTTGCTCTCGCCCTCCACCCCTCTCACACTCTTTACCTCCACCCAACACCGCGCACGGTCGTCTGCAGCCACCCCTTCCATCTCGTGCCTCCTCCCTCCCCCCCCCCCGCATTAG